TGATGATGATGGTGATGATGACGGTGTTAATGACGATGAGTACAAGCACATGGATGAGGAGGAGGAGGAGGAGACGACGACAACGCCACTACTGAGTCACTACTGCTGCCTCGTGTCGCAGGCGCTGCGGCAGCGATACGGTTTCAGTGGGCTACTCAGGAGATGCTTCGATGCCGTAGCTCACATTATAATGTTGCAGGCATCAGCTGCTGAGAAGAATCAAAGAGTCTGTCGATCCTTGCGGCTCCTGCGCCTCAAAGCTGCGGCCATATCATCGGACTTGCAATCCGTTCTCCTATCTCGATGCACAGGCTTTCCTTTTGCATGGTTGACGCTGCAATCCGCAGCACTTGAGCTCAGCAGCAGTCGTGATGATACCATGAATCAAGAGAGATGGTCAGGAACGATTGCATCCGTGCTTGTTTGGAGCAGTCGAGCCGCTTGAGTTCAGGTCCGCACTGAAACACTTCCAGGCATTGCAGGGCACTGGAACGCCCAAGCCGTGCCCATTTTCGGAGACGGCTTCAAGACGTCATCGAACGTCCACGAATTGGCTAGTGTTGCACGCTCGCTATGTAGATCTACGTAACGTCCTCGAATCGGTCGAGTCAGTGACTTCTTCAAAGTCTTGACGAGCCTCTTCGGCGAATGACGATACTATCCCGGTTTGGCGGGTGTAGCCTCTGAGCACCTCACTTTGGAAGAGCCCACAAGATTTGCACTGTGCTGCTGGGGAGCAAGTCTCCCTGGTCCCTTCAATCTGCTGGCCGCAGTAGAAGAACTGGTCAATGAGCTTGTCGGCATGTTTGACCATTGATCCATCATCGTTGAAGCACCAGAACATACTGGTCGGGTTTGTTGTGCTTGCCTTGCGAGCGTCTGCCATGCGCTCCTCCAGCTCTGGGAACTTCTGCTTCCACTGCATCAAATAATTCTCCAGCTCTGGGCCATCGAACCATCTGCACATGCGTGCCAAGAAGATGCACATCTGCTTGCATGTGTCTTCAACAGCTCGATGGACATGCATCGAAGCTCCCAACAACTCCAAGATCTCGTCTAGTTGTGGAGGCAGGCCGTCAAGGACCTCTGACAATGCTGCTTCTGCCTTCGAGGCATCCAAGTACAGCTGCGTGCAGGAACTTTCAGCTTCCGCTCCCGCCATCGTCTCTGCAATCCTCTGCGCGGCCTCGGCCAAGCTGCCGAAGCTCACCGAGCGGCTGTCCGCCAGGAGGGCCAAGAAGCCCCAGCGCTGTTGGGGGCTCCCACGCCCATCGCCATCGGTTTTGAAGCTGATGGCGATTGGCTTCTTTCCCACCTCCACCTCCACGGTTCCGGCCGACCAGGGGCCTGCGCGATAGAATTTCGAGTCGCCAATCACGACTCTGGAATACGAGTCATACGTGCAACTGCAAGGTGCGAAGGCTACCAGCACCTTGGGAGCCTCCATGTCCAGACTGATTTTGTACTCGTGGCGCTGCGCAGCGTACGGATGGCAGCTCTGGACCAGACGAACTCCCTCCGGGAGCTTGCGGCTTGCGATGAGAAGTGCCAACTGATCCCAGGCGTGGTAGCGCATCCTGCCTTGCGCCAGCGAGTACTCCTTGCTTGCCGTGGCTACGGCCGCATGAATTTTCTCGAGCTTGGCCAAAGATTCCTCGAGAAGCTCCAAGCGCAGGTCTCCCAAGCAAGGGCCCACCTGAGCCACGATCGGCAACGCAAGCTTTTGGGCCTCTTGGGAGACCGACTCGCGAAACTTCACGGCCTGCCTGATCTCTTCCAGCCACGCATGAAAAACGGTGCCAGCCTGATCCTTCTGAGTCGCAGTGGACATAGCCTGCTGCACAAGCTTGGTCACAGCGACGGACGGCAGCCCAAGGCTTTCAGTGACTTCCGTGTTGCCAAACTCCAGCCGCGTGGAACGCCCGAGACACACCAACACCGATTGGAGCAACTCTGCCGCTCGCTGAACATCACCAGAGAAAGAATATTCCTTCACGACCGACACAAGCGCAGGAAACAACGGCCTCTGCTTCCTCTTCTTGGCTTCTCGAATTTCCAACTCAGCGCTGATCACGAGTGCAGTCGATTCTAGGTCTGTGGTCACTTTGCTCAGCATTTCCACATCTTGGCCATATTGGATGGGAACAACGGCCGCCGTGAAACCACGACGCTCCTCAGCAGAGCCTTCTCCATCAGTTTCGAAAGTAAAGATCAGGGTGTCTGTGCCATCAAAGTCGCAGGTAGTCCACCTTTCCTTATCGGAGCCACAGAACTCGCGAGCCGCCTCTGCAGATGATGCTGCTCTTGACGACCTTCGGGAAACATGCGATGACGGCGATGGTGCGATTGTCAAAGAGCTCTTGCTGTTCAACGTGGCACTGACGGGGCTGAACATCACTGTGAGCCCCTTCACATTGGGTAGGGATACGACCTCCTGCATACCTTCTTGGTAAGGATGACCGGATGAAACGAAAATAGGCTGCTGGTCTCCCTGGTCGTCCATCCTGTGCCAATACTGAATCTCTTCGGTCAGGTGCTCCAGCTCCTCCTTCTTTAGCAACAGAGGCTGTAGCAATGCTTCATCCCGTGCCAAGACAAGAAATGGAAGAAGATCCAGCTGCATGTCTTCCAATTCAGCAGCCTGCAGCAGGAGCTCACGAAACCGAAGGTTTGCAAACGTGTCCTTGGTCTTGTCTCCCAGCTGTCGCAAATCGCTCAGGAACAGCATGCAGCGTCGCTTCTCTGCTTGATACTGGGCTCCATTTAGGCCGTTGCTGGACAGCCTCTCGATGCAGAAACCCAAGAAGTCACAGTGCCAGGAGATGTCACCTTTCACCACGACCATATTGACTGCATGGTTCTGGAGCTTCTCGTCTACGGTGTAGCGGGCAACCGTCCTGAAAAAGACAGGCGATCAAGGTTGCAGTACTCCTAGATTTCTGGACCCATTTCACATCGATCGTATGATCTTGGCATGGAGGTCTCTGAGCAGTCAAAAGATGAAACACAAAGGACAGGCTAAAACTCGAACAATGTTGCAAGCATCAAACGGTTTGCGCATAGTTTCGACATGAACAAGCACAGAGATTGGAGAATTAGCTTGGAAATCATGTCTGCACCCGATACAGCCCGATCCCATCCTCACTGCTTCGCTGTCTGCATTCGCAGCCGACGAGTTGAGCGCATGGTTGGCCAATAGTCCAGCTGCTCGAGACTTCAGCGCAGAAGAATGTAAATTGTGCTGTAGACCATCTGCGGCACTCAAGAGATCGGCCGCCAGTTTTTTGATATAGTTGAGCTCGGAAGGCATAGTTCCACTTTCTGCTGCGATCTTGCTTCGAGACATGTAGCACTCGGCGCAGAAATCTGCCTTGCAGGCTCGGCATCGCAAAGCGGTCTCGAATTCGAATCCTTTCGTAAATCGGCCGCACGCGTCGCACGAGAAGCCGTAGACGGCACGCTCCAGATCATGCCCATACATACACTTCAGAGGAGAGGCTTTATCCAGCGATTTCTGCAAATCTTGGCATTCCTCACATTGATCACCTATGACGGGACCACACTTGAACGATGAGGCTCTGTCACAGCCACAATAGCACACACCCCACAAACCAAACTTTCTGTCACCTGTCAACATCTCAGACACTTCTGGTGTATCTGCCTCAGACACTTCTGGTGTATCTGCTGGGACAAGGGCCCGGTAGTCCCCACGATTTGAACAGAATGTACACAACTTACACAACCATCCGAACGAAGTCGACCCAGATCCGGGTGTGGGTGGTCGTGCAAAAAGCGGGTCCGTGCTCCAGCTGATGGAGTGCCGCATCGTCTCCATGCGGTCAGCCAACAGCTGGTAACGCTTGCTGAAGTCAAGCAAAGGTTCCGCCGGCAATTGCGGCAAGCAGCCATCCCGAAGCAACATTGAAATATTCATGAGGTCATCGAGTACATGACTCAATCGCCTATCTTTCGCGACACTCGTGAACTGGTCCCGCAGAAGCCTCTCGATCGAGGTCATCATGCCAGGAATCTCGCACACAGGCTTGCTGAACATGAGTTTGATCTTTCGGGCACCTGACTTGCTGAAATCCTGAACTAGATTGCTCACTAGATGCTCCAGCTGACCAACCAGAACGGGCTCTCCATACCCCACGGACGTCATATCGCAGCCGCCACAAAGATGCCAACCCTGAACTTCTTCGATCTGTGGCCAGGACTGGGGGACCTGAACAGGTTGCCTGTCGTTTGTGTTTTTGCTGATATACTTCTGGAGCTCGGTCAACTGCACAACGGTGACAGGAAATTCGTAAAAGTGCATCCTGTCTGCCTTGCCATAGGCAGTATCAATGGCTGCCTCTACGATCAATGATACCATGCCGGCTTCTGTGCGGGAGGGGCGAATACCCACTGACAACTTTGTCTTCTGGATCCCTTCAAGTGCATCGTGGCTCAACATGTCTGCATACGGCTTTGCGTGTGTAACCAACAGATGTCGATGGCAGGCCACAAGCACTGTGTTTGCAAGGTGGTACTGAAGACGTCCATCGTCTCGCCTCCAGCGGCAACGCTGAAGGTGAAGCCAACAGGAACATACAGGCAGCGCGATGCTCCCGAGCAGTCCGACCATAACCGTCACCAGTTCAGCTGCTCCGGAAATGAAGTCGATGTTGGACACGAGAGCTAGTGACAAGCCGTCCTCCTTCATGCCTTCCTTCAATTGCACGACGATCTCGGCCGCCATCGTGTTGAAGCTGAACGGGGAGACGGCCTCATTCAGGAAGGAAACGCACAGCAGGGACCAAGTGATGAGAAGCCAAACACACTTCTGGCACAGGTGCGCAGCGAAATCCGATGGTATGGTGACGACATCACTCATATCTTTTTGCTCCTGGCTGGGTCTCGTGACCGCGCCACTCCACAGCATCACCTGCCAAGCAGGCACCACCAACATGGCAAGAAGCAAACCGACGGCACCTACCACGACAGTCGCTATCACGAAGATGGCAGCTCGGAGGTAGAAGGCGGTGCACTTTCGCATGCTGCCAGTCCGTGCCCAGGCCGCCCAATGCGCATGCAGCTGTTCGCCTTGCAAGGCCAGCACCCACTTCGTTGAGACCACCGAGCGCTCTTGCTGCTGCTGGCTGTCTACCAGTTGGAAGGCGTTGTTGAAGTCGCCCCCCTCCAGATAGCGCCTGCATTGCTTGGATTCGTCAGCCTTGAACTCTCCATACTGGAGCTTGACGGTGCCTCCACGAAAGGAAAGCCTCGGAGCATCATTTTCTGCAAGGTCCAGAGGCTCCCAGTCGCCCTCCAGCCAAAAGGTCCCGACGGTGGTCTCCCAGAGCTCGGTGAAGCGGCGGAGCGAGGCCCAGCCGCCGCGGTATACCACGAGTGCAAAGACCAGCGCAAGGCTAAAAAGCCCGACGAAGTAGCACACTTTCCACGTGGTCACCACGCTGCTACACCGGATGCAGACTGCCAGGGTGCATGCAACCGCTAAAGCTTCGCTCAATCGGAAGATGCTCACGACGTGCAGGCTGCGCTGAGCCGCGAAGCTCTTGCGGCTGTAGTAGTCGTTGTGGGGGATCAGGGGAACGCAGCAAGGAACGACGTCGCCTGAGCATGGAACTTCTTCCGCTGCAGCCAGCAGTTCGGCCGACATTGACACGCCGGTCATCACCGACTTCAGCGAGAAAAGCACCGACACCAGCAAGAAACACATATCCAAGGAACTGTTCAGCGGCACAGTCACCAACCCGAAGATCCCCACAAGCAAGCTCAGGTATGCCTCGCTGGCAGCTTCACGGTATGCCTTCTGGTACAGCTCCGATAGCAGCATTCCCTTGCTCCACGATCCGCGGCATGCCTGGATCGTGTCGGATTGCAGCAGTGCTGCCAACAGCAGCTGCACGTCCCAGGCACCTTTTCGCAAGGAGTCAATCCAAAGCATGCTGATCTGCATGCCAACACCAACGAAGATGATTGTGGCAAAGAAGGGCTGGCCAGCACGAAAAAATATCATGCTCTGACCCACGTCCATCGTGGTCTCAAACCAGATGCCGACAGTGGTCACGAAGACTTCTTTGTATGCGACCCACGTGTCGGGGATCCAGTGGAATTGGAACTCGTCCGGCTTTGGCCCCTCCACGTTCGACACGGTCGTAGGCATGCTCAAAGTGTAGCCATGCAGCACGGACAGAGCGCCGTATACAACACCCGCCACAAGCGGAGCCCAGTCAGGTAGCCAGCCGAAAAGGAAGCTGGAGTACGCTTTGGAACAGGACCAGACTAAGCCATGCTTGGTGCTTAAGGCCCACAGGCATATCACCAACAAGTTAATTAGAAAGAACACCAGCGAGGTGATCTTCGACATCATGGAGCTTGTCCTCAAGCCATCTTGCACTATGTCCGCCAAGACGAAACTTGCATAGAAGCGATTCGTCCCCCGCTGAGTCTGCTGCAGAGCACTCGACGTCGCTTCGAAGAACGCTGTAGCCAGACTGAGAATCACGAAGAAGATCAGCAACAATGCAATGTGGCAAGGCAGCATCGGCAACTGGTCCAGGTGCATCAGCCGCCTCACCTTTAGTGGCACATGGAGCCAGCTCTCTGCCCAGCCGTGCTGCTGGAAAAGCAGATCCTCGTGATCCACCCAACCTGCGGCCATGATAGCGGCTTGTAGGACGCAGCAAAACTAGCAGTGCAAGACGACGTAGACGACGAAGAAGACGACTTTGAGCGCCAATTCGATGTAACCGACGGGCTTTTTGAAGCTTCCTGCATAGAAGCAGAAGGTCAACTGCGCTGGCGCCGCCTCCCCCGAAGGCTCCTCTACGGAACTGTCTTCACTCTCCTCCTCCAACTTGGCCAAGAGGCCCTGCACTTTGCTGCGAGCGGCTTCGAAGGACTCGGGACGGATGCTGACGCCGCTGCCCCAGGTGTCGGAGAGCACGCCGCCGCCGAGCGTGCCACAGCCACAGCCCCCGCTCCCTCATTATCTGTCTCGACCAGTGTGGCTGCTTTCTCATCTGTTTCGAAGAGTATGGCATCGGCGTTCTGGGTGATCGCCAGATCGATCGCTTCGGCAAGTTTCCGCAGATTCATATCGACGTCCACGGTCCTCGATTCAAGGCAGCAGTGGGAAGCCATGCTGCAGGTCACGGCGACGATGGCAAACAGCCAGATGCAGCTGTACCACTGCAGCAGCGCATGCCAGCCCGGTGTGAAGGGAAAGAACCGAACACCCAAGCTGGAGCTCGTGAGCTGCCTGTGCCATTCGCCCACGAAGCTTGCGAGGACGGCGTCGGACATGGCATCGGAGCACTTCTGCCAACAAGGCTTGCCAAGCGCAAAGGGCACGGTGTCCCGTGTGCCATTGACGAGAGGAGCACAGGCATCTTGCCAACGAAACGGAGATTCCTCTGCAGCTCCAAGGGGGGCATCGGCGCTGCTCGCCTCATTGCTCCCTTGCTTCACTCGGATAGCATCTTGCAGAGAGACTGCGTGGCTCAGGCGCGTGGAAGAGATGGGCCCTGGATCTTGTGGGAAGCAAAGCAGGCAGAGCACTGCCGCGCCAAGGCAAAGAGCAGCCAGGACGTACCATTTGGGCCTGGAGGCAGCTGGCGGAGTCAAGAGCTCATCTCGGAGATCCAGGTGCGGCCTCCAAGGTTGCCGCAGCCGCCACATGCTGTCCGAAGCCCATATTCATTCCTTAAAACGGTCCTGAGCCACCGCATGCCACAGCTCAGATCACAAGCCACTGAGCGGGTGCACATCTTCATGGCATCGGCAACCAATAGCATTCAATAGCGGCCCAGACTCCGAACCTGAACGCCTCCTTTTTCCCTGCCGCATCCGTTGCTTCCACTCTTCGGGCCTTGCGGGGTCCCTCCGAAACCTCCTCGAAAAGCGACGCCGCGGGCCCTTCTGCCTCAGGCACCCGCATGGGAGCAATCAGTGCTCAGAGGAAAAACACTGCACCGGTTCGCCTACCTCGGCGGGGCCGCCGGTCGGCTGCCGCTTCTGGAAGTCCCTGGCAGGAACTGCTCTGATGTGAACCGGCCCTCTGGGAAATGCCGCAGAAACGAGGTCGGCACTTGTAGAAGCCGGCGCTGTGGGAGCGCGCCGGGTACGCCTCGGCCTGGCGTCTCTGGGACGAAGTCCGCATGCAGCGTGGGGCTTTGCAGCCTTTGCTGTCGAACTCTGCCTGCCTTGTAGGGCTCCCCGATAACTCCGCACAGGCCTGCAGGCAAGGGGACGTAGCCGCTGTTCTAGACGAGCTCGGCCACTCCAAGCTCAAGGAAAAGTATGCTAGAATGCTAGAAGCCACCACCCCTTCAGTCTTCCACGCGTCTCGGATGCGGGTGCATGTCAGCGTGCTCATGGGGTGCACAGAGCAGTGTCTTTGCATTGCAATGCCAGGTCCGGTTGCAGACCTGCCATGGACTTTGCAGAGGCGAGGTCGCGGCTCAAGGTCTTCAAGCTGGTGCCCTGCACAATGACAAGGCAAGGCCCAAAGCCCTAAACGTAGACTAAAGCCTGCAAACCCTGAAATCCCTAAAGTGTTCGGGTCTAAGGCAGTGCCTTAAAGGAGGTGGGGACGAGCACGCCCGTGCCGGCCACGAGCATCTGACTGAGGACCCACTTCCTGACGTCCAAGCGGATGTGCCATTTTGGGGGCTCCTTGTTAGAATTCTTATTTATTCTATAATTACAGCATTATAATATCATATAACCCAAAACTCTACTCTGAAAAAACTATGGTCCCACTCGGGTACCGGTCACATGCAGGAGCATGTACACAGATATTGATGCGCGTACTTGTACATCCAACGACTCTCGCGTATATAGATAGACAGATCCGTCCGTCGGACATACATGCAATGCATGTTTCATGATGCGTGCCTACCTACCTACGTACCTACCTACCCACCTACATACTTGTCTACCCACCCACCCACCTGCCTACATCTACCTACCTCCCTTACCGACCACACAAGAGTAGCTACTGTACCTGCCGACCCACCCACATTCGCCCGTACAGAGACACGTGCACAGAGAGGCGCCAACATGCTGCACGTGATCACAAAAAATCAGGCTGTGATGGACTAAGAGAGACATGCAATCACACTTGACAAGGGTATCTCAGGCACAGATGGAGGTGTGGATTTGCATTCGGACATTGCGTGCTGGAATGGTGTGCCTGCCGGCCGGCGCGGGAGTGTGCGCAGATGTCCGCAGGCAGGAGGTTTGTAGGATTGTAGCGTACGCGTCTATGCCAGTGCCTGTGTCCGCTTAACTGAGTTGCATGTTTCTGCTGTGTTGATGCACGTGCAACTCGTGTAGGTACACATGTCTTACATACCAGGTTTCGCTTGTCAGCAGCAATGCATCTGGGCACTCCGGCGTGTTCTGGTAGTTGGCATTGGTGGCCACGGCTGTGCGCACCTTCCGAAATGTGCCCAACCACATCAGCGCGGTGAGGGCCTTGGGTGCCCAGTGGGCGCCGGACGTAAGATTGGATCATCTCCTCGAAGCCCGGTGGCTCCCTCGAGCCTGCAGAGGCTCGAATGCTCGGGTGAGGGCCTGTTACGTAGGATGCTCGAAGCCCGGGGCCTTCACGACAAAAGATGCTCGGATTCCAGAGCGCACCCCTCCGGCAACAGATGAAACAGACGGAGAGACTGAAATCAAAAACACTGGCAAAGGAGCTCGCCCGCATTGCCGGATACACAGACCCTATAAAACCCCAAACCCTAAAACATGCAACGCAGTCATCACCGTCATCAACTGCGCCCTCTCCTGGCGATCATCACCCCTGCAGGGCAGCCAGCTGCCGCGTCGGAGCCCTTGCCACAGTGCTTCCTGCAGAACAGTCGGAGCGAAGCACAAACATGCCGCTACGAACAAGTCCGATTGTATTGCGGGGCATTACCCATCCCAAATGCTGTGTATACATCATGGGCATGTTGTGCCATGTACCGGTGCACAGGGGCCCGGAACCGCAAGGGCCTGTACAGGGCTCCATATTAAGCTCCAGTTCGTCTTTACAAGACGAGGCGCCAGAACTCGGCGATTTGCCGGCGATTGAAGAAGTCGCCGTTCGCCAGCACCGGAATCTGCACAGCATCCCACCTCAAGCAGGAACCAGTGCAGAAGCCTTAAATCCGAAAACCATTCACAGCACTCCCCAAACTGGATGCACCATAAAACTCTCAGCCCGAAAGTAACGAACGCCGACACCACAGTTTGATTGAGGAGTGAGCTTCGGAGGCCAGCGCAAGCTTTCAGTAATGTCTACACACAAGTATTTCTCTGCATGCCTGCCAAAGTGTGGTCCACTGCGGGCATGCTCACACAAGAGCAAGACTGCGGTTGTCTGCATCTGTACATGGAACATCTCAATCGACAAACGCACGAAATACAACTATGTTACATGCATGTAACACACGTGCCAACCCACCAACAGCCATGCACACACACACACACAGAACTGCACAAAGGTCGCACATGTCCATTTGCATGCTAAGGCTACATACACGACCGACACACGACAGACAAGCATGTGCAAAAGCACAAGCATCGCCTGACACACACACACACACACTGACGTCCAGTTTATGCAGCCTACAAGCCTAAGCCAAAGTGTTCACAATGAGCGTCTCCGAGCCGCAGTCGACAGAGCTCGTCCCAATGCGCAGGCTCGGCGGGGCGCTCCTGCCGCAGGCGAAGGTGCACCTCACGGAGACCCGCGAAGTCCGCCGCGCAGACGCGAAATTTCACATCAACAACCAACATGCCCACTTCCCCCGACTTCCCCGTAGACCCAGGCACGGTGATGGCTTCGGCGCCGCTGCGCTCACAGACCTGCATGAAGTCTCGCCTTGGGGGCCCAGAGGCCGACTCTCGGTTCCCTCTCTGCGACTGACCTCCAATGCTCAGCATCCCCCCCCCGAGGCCGAGCCACGTCTTCTGCGTGGAGGGCAGCATCCGGATCTTGCATGTGAGCGTCGTCTGCCTTGGCGTGAGCCGCCACGAGATTCCGTCGTCGACAGCGCAAGGCAGCTAAAGTCTAGAAGAAAGGCAAAGCCCTTGCGCGTCAAGACTCACTGCACGTAACCTGCAAGTAATGGTGGCATTCGACAGCTGCTGTACGTGCCTGAGAATGCCACGCTGGGAGCTCCCTCCGCAACGTCTTGAGGAGATCCGCCACCAGTTCCGGCCTAACTCGGGTTCGGGTGTTTGGATTCGGAGACTGTAGCTTCTCTCGGGTCGCTTTCGAGATGAGCTCGCAGCTGGTCCAGCAGGGCCGCGCCCATGCCGCCCTTCACGCTGAAGGACTGAGCGCAGGCAGGAGAAGGAGACGGCAAAAAGGCCCGCTATAGGCCGCTAGGCCGGGGCCGGCGACAAGACAAAAGGGCTTTCAGTAAAGGCCTTGGGGCAGCCCATGTTAATGTCGATGCCCGACACCTGAGCAGCGCTGACGGAGAGGAAAACTTAGGGGAGCTCGACTGAGCTCGGCGCATCGTTGCACACGGTCTGGGCGGCCTCGCCAAAATCAGCCGGCAACAGGAAAAGACGGCCCCTGCGACCCTTTGCCTGCAGCGCCTGCACGGGGCTGGCCTCGGCGGCATCTCGCTCGCTCTCTCTCGCTCTCTCTCTGCATCCTCCCTCCTCTTCTTCTACACGACAAGGAGAAGCACCCGGCGGTGCCCAGCTGGAAAATCACCTTTCGCCTCTCGGCACCGCAGGGGCGTCGTGCTCACGGCAAGCACGAACGGTGCCAGACGCAGGCCTCTCCTCTGCGCAAGTAGAGAACACAGTCGCCTGCCTCGGTGGGAATCCATTTAGTACGAGAGCAAAGGTGAAGACGAGGCGGTGTCAGTAGTTCCTTTTTTCGCGCCGGGCTCCAGTCGTGTCTCCTCTCACTCCGGCGGAACATTCTGGCCACGGAGGAGCCGCTTCAAGCGCTCCTGTCAATAGCCCGGCAAAGAAAAGCATCGGACAAGCCGTCGAACAGAAGTGCGTGATCCTAGGTCCTAGCCGAACAACGAAAACTTCAAAGATGCGTGCCGCAAGACTTTCCCAAGAGGCATCCACTATCCAAGGCGATAGCAAGCGGCTTATCTCTCTGGCCATCTGAATCTGTTGAACATCCATCTCTGTCGCACTTTCAAGCACACTTACAACGTAGAAGCAGTAGTAGTAGTAGTAG